TTCCTTAAACTCGGGGGCGGAGTCGAACTTTTCTTCTCCTGCAGAGTAAGGAAACACTAAATTTTGGATGGAAAGACATTGATGGTCTGAAATGGAACAAAAGTAGAAACAAGAAGGATTTTTCATGTTCGGCGCTAAGGTCTACATCCACAGACACAATACAGATACTCTGATTACATTGCTATGTTCTAAGACAACAAGAACTTCACCTTCCCCAGTATACATTACATATGGATGATCCCTTCATGGTTGTTTTTCAGGATCACCCATATGTAATGGCTGATTTCATGCCTCAAATTAAAGCATGTACAAGGGATTTTATCCCAGTGGTAACAGCCTCTCTGCTTTGTAGGAGTAATGCTACGTATATCTAACCCTCCCCAAATTCTATAATGGCGGGAGTCTTGTGCACTAGTATGCCCTTTTTAATTTGTGATGTCAATTGCGGGATCTTCAATATCTTTAAGGAAAACTCTTAAGAAAATTAACTGGCAGAGCAGAAAATGGAAAAACAGAATGGGTCATCGGAGATTGCCTTCTTTACATATACCAACTAGAAAGAGGAAGAATGTACCTACAGCTAAGTTGAAGGGACTTCTGGGGATCCTAGCCTCTCTGTCACAGACGCTCTTGCTCCTTGGAAATTTTGTAATAGAGGGGGTAACACAACTTTTCCTCAACAATGCAGGGCTTTCCCCTTTCAAGTCCACCATTTTAGACAACAGAGCGCCACCAACCGAAGACCTAACTCCACTTGAACTTCCATCCTTCACCATTCTCCCTCTTATCATTGGTGACATTGGAAGATTACCCCCAATTCTAACCGAAGTAGGCCTCTGTTTTATTGGTGTACACTGATCAAAATCCAAAGGAACTGGCTTCAAGGCCATAGGCGAATCTGTTCCATTTTGCCCTGTTCCCCAAGAACCTCTTCTATGAGCAGAGTGTTTTGAATTGACTCTCTGCTCACTTTTCTCTCCCTTTTCTCTCAACCCCATTAGCGGTTCTGGCGTTCCGACTAATGGGTGTCTCCCAGGGAGTGGTTTCGCTCCCTTAACGACTGGAACAGGGGATCCAGGCTCCAATCTCTCGACGTATATGAACTGTCCCAGCTGCATTTTGTTGCTGAAAACAAGATCATCTTGTTCAAAAGGTAGACTAACATAGATCGAGTGAGAAGAATCAGACACCTTTATGTAGAATCCGTGCTTTGGCCATAGACTCTTTTCATCAAGATCTGCGGGACAATGTCCGTCACTTGTAAAAGTGAGCTCCGATGCTCACTTGTCGGCTTCACCCCTGAATTCATCCCACTGAGAAGCTTCAATAGAATTCCAGGCGCTAACGTTCCCATTGTCTTTCAGGGGTTCGACTCAACACAACCACAAAAAAAATAACTCGAGAAAAGTACCAGTAACAGTAATGGTGAACCCTGTAGAAGTTCAAATCAAGATACAATGAAAAATCAGAAGAACCCACCACAGAGAAAAGCTAATGGCTTCTGAATTTCAAGTGCAAGAAACCAAAAGGTCAAGAACGATGAGAAAGAGATACAAACAACCCAGAGTAAATCCAATTGCTCTTGCAATTTAAATCAAAACATAACTAGAAAAAACAGAGAGGAAGCTGAAAAATAGATCATCTGAGAAGAAATTTAAATTTTCAGGTCTCAAATTTCAGCGCAATTTTCATGCCTAGAAGAAAGGTTTGAATGTGGCTTGAAGATACGGTAATGGGAGGTGACAATATTGGGAAGAAGAAGGGTTCTCTGTGTTCTGAGGTGGGTTGGAGTAACGGTAAGAAAGGGACAAGTTTTTAAAATGTGTGGAGTTTTTTTGGAACGTTGGGGGCAACGGTCATATGTCGCTGGTGTGTGACGTTATTATGATCTCGAATTAGGCGGAGTGAATGAATATGCCGGTTGTTAATACGACGTCGTTCAATTTGTTTTGCTTGTGATTTAATTAAGGATTTCTAATTTTTTTTTGGTAACAAAATGAGAAGAAAAATACCACGATGACATATTTTCCTCTGTAAAGATTAAGACAGCGATCCATCAACCATTAACCCGCCCTTCTCAATCTTTTACCCAATAATCAAAATTTTTGATCAAAATAATCGAAATGTTAATGTTTTTAATAGGGGTGTTCACTCTACCCTACGGGTAGGAAATATGTTCTTTCGTATTTCTATCCGATACTTTACAGAAGAATATTTTTTTAACCTACCCTACCCGACAGATGTGATATTCCTACGCGACTTCCTATCTGATTAATCGGGTAGGAAGTCGGGTAAATATTTTTGTAACAATTAATTTTTGAATCATTTTAACAATTTAATTAAATAACATGCACCAATTTAACAACACAATAAATCAATTAACACTAAAATTTAAAACAACTATAACAAGAATTATAATAAAACACAAGAAAATATGAACATTAATCTACCATAATTGTTACACAAATACAATAACAATTAATTTAAGTTTAAACTTTAAACCACATGAAATACATTAAAATCATAATTGCTCCACTAGGGTTTAGGATTTTTTTTAGTTTATATATATATATATATTAAAAATTTATTGTGGGTAGGGTAGGATAGGAATGCGGAAATGGATGGCTATTCCGCATTCCTACCCGAAAATTGTCAGAAGACCAAAATCTCTTTCGCATTTCTACCCGATTTTTTCGGCTAGTTGTTCAATAAGGTAGGAACTTGCGGCTGGTCGAAAATTTGAACACCCCTAATTTTTAAGGACATCAAAACGAAATAGTGATAGAATTGAAATTTTAATACTTTCAAGTGTTTAGAAATATTTTGACATATTTGCGCTATTGTTTTAAAATATTTTGGTTTATTTAGACTAATATTTTGGAATGGTTTAAAAATAAATTCATAAATTTTTTATTCATTTTTATTTTATTTTTAAAATATTTTTTTATTTTCTAAGTGATCAAAATAATGCATTGAAATAAAATTTAAGTAATGTTATTGGAACTTAAAAATTGACTTAATTTACTAATATAATGATATGTTAAGTGATAGAATTCCAAATCAGAAATTTAAGAGTTATAGCTAAGTCTGTCAATTGTGTCAGATGAGATGAGTTCGTGTCGAGTGTTAGTGGATTTATGATAAAAAATATTTCACTCATATCTAATTTTTTTATTAATTCGTGTCATGTATGAATCATGCATAACTGATATATAAACGAGTCGTATCGTGTATATTTCTTCTAATTGACTTTATTTATATCCGATTCATTTATTAATAGTGTCATATTGAATTTAATCGTTTACTAAACTAGTGGTTTAAGGAAGTCCAAACCCTTTAATTTCGTATTCGTGTTCGTGTCCTGTCATATTTTGACACCCCTAATTACCGTCACAAAAACACTATTAAATCACATTTTGATCATAACATTAGATCAATAAATTAAATCAATTTTTTAAATTTCACTAAAATTAGTAATGAAATATTGAATCCCCTCTCTACCCTTGAAACCACCCTCGCCAACCTCCCCAAACACTCCTCTCCCAAATTTAGGATTACCCTCAACCCTCTTCAGCTCCTTGACCTTGAAAACCTATCCCACCTATATAAACACTCAACCCCAATTTGAACCCCCATTAAGTTGTTTCTAAAATCATCAGGTTGATTATGGTCGTATCAGTAGTAATTTGAATTTTTTTAAATTTATATTGAAGGTTAAGAAATAGTACGCTCAGTTCACCAGGTTGTATCATTGTAAGGCCAATCATACTTAAAAGAAGAGTTTGATGCTGACTCAATGAAAAAGAATCTTTCGAACACCATGATCCACGTTCTTGATGTTAGCTCCGATCAAAGAAATATACAATCGAGTCTAATCTGTCAAAAAATGAGTTAACATGTATACTGGAAAGGGTCAATTTTACAACAAATGAGCACACACACAATTTCAAGATATAAATTATAATATCAGAGCCTGCTTAGTGCAAAGTAATTCTCTGATTGGGACACATGATCTTACTTGATGCTTCATCTCTAGAGTCGTTGCGGGTTTGGACCGAAAGACTTAATTGAAATAATATTTTAGACTTAGAGATAGAAGCTAATTTGATAAAATTTAGAAGTCGTGTTGGGTGGGCCTCTTCTTTATGTGGTATCATAAATCAAAATCCCATTGAAGACATGCTGTCATGGTTGGGTGTCATCAACTACCTCCACACTTTGATTGAAAAATTTTGGCTAGGGTGACCGATTCATAAATGAGCGGAGTCGGCACGATATAATTAATAAAATAAATTAGGTATTAGTGAAATTAATCAAAAAAATATATGATTCGTTAAACACGAATTAATAAATAAATTGAATATGAGTGAAATATTTTTTGATATGACCCATTAAAATACGATAGGAATTTATCCCACCAATACGATTAATGGGCGTAAATTTGAGTGACCGAGTAATTATTAAGAACAATGAGTCAATTATACCCATAACTAACCGATGGACTCGGGGCTGGCCCAACATAAAAGCAGCTCAAAGTTGCTTTGGGTTCCAAATAGGTATGTAATGGTCCTTATTGTCTTCATAAATCTAGCCCAATAACATACCTAAAGAAGAGGCCTAAACACAAAATTCGGAAAAGGAGTCTGTCTCTTCTCTTTACATTTTTTTTAACAGTTAGAGTGTCTAAAGTTAACTTATATGTATTTCGATTAATTCTCTCTCTAGTCTGATCAAAAATAGATCATCCATGTCAGAACTAAGATATTCATGAAAGATAAATCACTCATAATCTGACCGTAAAAAATTATCAAAATTTACAGTTTATTGATGTTTCTACTTGAACAAAACCTTATAGCTCTTGTATTTCATCTGCCAACTATTAGTTACATCAGTCACATAAAAAACCAAAATCACCCCCTCCCCCCCCCTCTCTCTCTCTCTCTCTCAATTAATGTAAAAATTTAATTAATAATTTTACATATAACCATTGTGTAGTATTTATAATAAGTCTTTAAAAGGTTTTATTTACAAATTTTGCTCCCAAAATTTATCGAGACAGCCCTGCGTTGGAGCTTGGTTTTCTTCACGACTTGTCTTTAAATTCAGTGTAATCTAACTAAGGAAAAACAACAATAGTTACCGTGCACTTTAGAGAAATTCCTTTTTTTTTTTTTTTGATAATTGAAAAAAAGATGGGGTTAAGAAGCTCCTAGAGACCACTCCGATAACCACTCATTGGTGGGATTATAATGTCTCTGAACACGCTCGTTACTCTTCTTGGGAACAAACTTAATTATGCTAGCATAACGATCAGCCATTGAGTCCAATGTAAACTCCAAAACTCAAACTTCTAATTTTAAGATAAAAAGTTTGGCTAGTACCTCACTAGATCACCCCACTCAATGATAATTTAGAGAAATTCTTTAACTTCACTTGAGTAAAACAAAAGTGAGGTGAGTTAAAATTCCATTCGAAGTAACGTAATAGGATTTGACTTGACCTTGTGCCGTCTTCAATTTTTTTTTTGAGATCGTTTTTTGACAAAAATTGTAAAAGTAAAAAATTGGCAATACCTCTACACGTGAATTTGTGATATGATTTCTAGGAATGAAGTCTGAACAATCTCCCAATCTCTTTCCTGCAAAACAAACAAACTGCCCAAGATCGAAGTGTTTCGATCGAAGACACTCCGATACTTAAGTCAGTAATGGAACATAAAAAATTGCACCAAGACAGGGAGAGTTCAACGTACATTTCTTCTTGGCTCCTTTTGCTTTTTATATGTCATTATCCCCTTAGGGTTTCCATGAATTTAGGTTCAAGGTAACACACCTTCCTTTAATTCAGTAGTTGAGTTTGCGAAGTTACTGATACTTCTCTAATAATTTCTCTTGATATCTTCAATTTCAAGGATTTTGTTTATCTGATTACCTAGATTTTAGACGAATATTTAACTTTCCATCTATCGTTTTGAACAGCTCGGACATATCGAGTGCCGAGCACATTCGACATTTGCCAAACGGTTTGGAGACTTGGTTTGGCACAAACCGATCTTTTCAATTGCTTTCCTAATTAGTTTTGAGAACTCAACTTGGTACAAGCCTAGCTCGCTTCTTGCATAGCCAAACAGATTGATGAACTCGGTCATAAAGAGAACCTAACTCTTTCTTTGTTTGTCTAATGAACTGATCAGTTCGGCTCGGTCCTCAAGACTAAGTGAATGTCCTGTCACATGACTGGTCTTGTCAAGATCATGTGAGCTTATTTAATGCAGTAACACATGCCATCATGAGGGCTAACTCCTTCATTTGCCCCCAGAAAATGTCTGATAGACGTTTTTCATCTGTCAACCAT